CTGGGCTACCAAGTGAGCTCCAGGAAAGGCGCAAAGCTACACAGAGAAACCCTGTCTCGAAAAAAAAAAAAAAAAAAAAAAAAAAAAAAAAGAAACAGGTTAATTTGGCAAGGACTTCATGGGTAGGCTAGGGTTTTTCTGGCTTTGCTGAGTCCCGTGGTAGGTCATGAGCAGCTCTGGCAGACATCAGTAACTTAGATTGGCTTTTAAATAGAGTTTATAAAGTGCTAAAAGAATCGAGGCAGGGGGAGCTGGAGAGATGATTCAGCAGTTAAGAGCACTGACTGCTCTGCTAGAGGACCCAGGTTCAATTCCCAGCACTCACATGGCAGCTCACAACTGTCTGTAACTCTAGTTCCAGGGTATCCAATGCTCTCATACAGACATACATTCAGGCAAAGCACCACTGCAAATAAAGTAAGAAAAATATTTTAAAAAAAGAATCAAGCCGGGTGGTAGTGGCGCACGCCTTTAATCCCAGCATTCGGGAGGCAGAGGCAGGTGGATCTCTGTGAGTTCAAGGACAGCCTGGTCTCCAAAGCAAGTTCTAGGAAAGGCACAAAGCTACACAGAGAAACCCTGTCTCAAACAAACAAACAAACAAACAAAAAGAATCAAGAGGGGACAATAAAAAGAAAAAGCTGCAAAGGGGTCTGTCTGGGTCACTCAGGAACAATGTCACAATAATTGTGCCAAACCAGAGTTCCTAGAAAAAAATGACAAGCCAAATCGCGTTCTTGTGAGTGCCTGGGGGCCTAAAGCATGAACACCATGAGCCTAACAGTGGAAAGGGGACTGGACGGTAGAAAGAGAAGTACAGTGACAAAGTGAATTTTGTTCTAGGCTGTTCCCCTTACAGTGTACTGTGGACATGTCTCTCCTGGTGGTGCAGGTGTTTACCTATAATCTCAGCATTCAGGAGGTGGAGGCAGGAGGATCAGGATTTCATTGTCATCTTTGGCTATATATGAGTTTGAGTGAGGCTAGCCTGGGCTATGTGAGACTATGTTGTTGTTGATTTTTTTTTTTTTTTGAGACAGGGTCTCTTCATGTAGCCCTGGATATCCTGGAAGTTACTATATAGACCAGGCTGGCCTTGAACTCATGGAGATCTGTCTGCCTCTGCCTCTGCCTCCTGATAGCTGGAACTAAAGGCATGCACCATGCTTGGCCAGATCCTAACACACACACACACACACACACACACACACACAGTGGGAAGTGTGTGTGGCGGGGAGAGAAATGGGATCCTCTCTCTCTCTCTAGGTTATGATACTCTCTAGAAGCCTGTGGGGTCCTCCCTGCCCACAGAATCTTAAAGTCTTGTTCTGGGTCTGTTTCACTCACTAAGCTGGCTGATTCTACCTGGAGGCTAATTCCTGTTTTCTTCTATTATTATAGAATTGGGTGTGAAATGTATGAGGACAGTGCAAGAAAATCTCAGTCTGAATTCACTTCTCAGGAGCGGCAATGTCCATTTTCAGCTGCCACATTACAGCCGAGGGTGTCACATAGTGAGTCACAGCCGTCCCTTCCTCCCCCGCCACCTTTGAGACAGTCTCACTATGTAGATCAGGCTGGCCTGAAACTACCAGAAATCTGCCCGATTCTGTCTCAGCATTGGGATTAAAGCACGCGCCACTGTGTGAAGCTTTCTTCTTCTAAAGTCTGGTATGACACAGAAAATGGGCTTCATTACATGCCTGTGCCCTGATAGCAGACTTCCCAGCCTCCAGAATGGTGAGCTAAATGAACCTCTATTTTTTATAAATCACCAGACTCCAGTATTGCAAACAGAAGACAAGTAAAGACATTACCCCTTGGGGAGGCAAGAGAGGAGGCCGGGGTTTTGTTAGGCTGTGCACATGAATTTTACATTTAATGCTGTTTTTAGTGTCTGGTGACTCGGGTGTTTGCTTATACTTAGCATGGGGCTTCTGGAAGCTGGTTGAAAGTTTTGTAACATGATTTCAGGGCTCACCATTGGTATTGGATAACCAATTGAGGGCCTTTTTACTTCTTAATGGAATCAAGAAAACAATTTTTATATTTATGTCTGGTGCGGAGAGATGGCTCAGTCATTAGGGCCAATTTTTGTTCTTGCAGAGGACTTGGGTTCAGTTTCCAGCACCCACCTGGTGTTTCACAACTGCCTGGGACTCCAGTTCCAAGAGCTGATAGCCTTTTCTGGCCTCTACAGGTACCACACACATGGTACACAGAGATAATGCAGGCAAAAAACTCATACCCATTAATAAGAAGTACTTTTTAAAAATATATATGTGTGTAGGTGGAGTTTTTCTGTCCTGCCAGCTGGTTCCCAAACAGACTTATTAATAATTATAAATGCTCGGCTGATAGCTTAGGCTTGTTACTAACTAGCTCTTACAACTTAAATTAACCCTTATTTCTTATCTATGCTCTGCCATGTGGCAGTACCTTTTTTCAGCACAGCATGTTCATCTCCTGCTTCCTCTGTGATTCCTGGTGGCTCTGCCTTCTTCATCCCTGCACTCTCTTTTTGTCTCACAAGCCCTGCCTGACCTCTACCTGCCCAATCATTGGCCATTCAGCCCTTTATTAGACCAATGAGAGCAACAAATATTTTCCGTGTACAAAAAGATTGTTCCACAGCAGTGTATACACGTGCTTGACTGTGTGCGTGTGCAGAGACCAGTAGAGGGCACTAGATCCCTCAAAGCTGAAGTTTCAGGCATTTGTGGGACTTTTACATGGGTGCTGGATTGCATAGCAAATGTTATTAACCACTGAGCTACCTCTCTAGCCCTAAGACCCTATCTCAAACAAACAAACAAACAAACAAACAACACAAAAAAGAAAAGGTGGAATCAAGTGTGTTGATGTACACCTTTAATCCCAGCATTTGGGAGTCAGAGGCAGGTGGATCTCTGTGAGTTCCAGGCCAGCCTGGTCTATATAGCAAGTGAGATCCTGTTTACATAATAAATAAATAAATCTTAAAAAAAAAAAAAAAAACTTTTTAAAAAAAAAAAAAAAAAAAAAAAAAAAGAACACCAGGGAGCAACAGCTAGTGTTGCCCTCTGTCCTCCACATACATGTGCCCCTGCACACACATATATCCACAAGCATATGAACATATACACACTCACACTTGCCCCCCTCAAAGTAGAAGGGCACAGAGGGAAAACCAAGATGGCAGAGTAGCAAGTGAGTTCTTAGTCATGGGACAAAAAACGAAAAAGGAAACTCCATGTTGGCAGGCCGAGCCAGTGAGGCCTTGGCTGGAGGGTGACCTTGACAGCAGTGTCAGGGAGCTCTTGGGGTCTTCTCGGGTTATTCACATCGCTTCCAAGATCCTTGATTGAAGGGGCCAATTTCTTTGTGAAAGACAAAGAGCTGTGGGTACACACCTTTAATCCCAGCCCCCAGGAGGCAGAGGCAGGTGGATCTGAGTTCCAGTTTAGCCTGGTCTACGGAGAGAGTTCCAGGACAGCCAGGGTTACACAGAGAAACCCTGTTTTGAAAAAGGAAAGACAATCTCTTCACTCCTCCCCAGCCCCCCACTTCACACTAGCTCAAGATTTTGCTTCCTGTTCTAGTAAATAACTTACCATGTGTCAATCAGCTCCCTGGCTTTAAAGGATTACTCCTGGGTCAATGCATGTCCTTCAATGAAGGAATTAAGATTAATGAGCTGCACAGAGGCCCCTGAGGACTAAGATGAGAAGGCCAGGGTCTCTGTTGGTAGGAAAGGGAAAAATGAAGATGTTAGTCAGTTTCTGGGTGTGATAGTGAAACATTTACACATTCCAGTGTTGATGAAGACATCTACAAATATAGACAAAACGTGGTAATTTGTGCCGTTTCCTGATGAGAGCCTCAGCTGGTGTTGGTGATGTCATATGATCACACTAGTCACGTGGGTGAAAAACGTAGGTAATGCCAAGACTGTACTCGATGTTTGAACAACAGATGTGAATTTTAAGGACAGGGAAACTATTATCTCAGGCTCCACTGTGCTGGCAACAGCAACATGGAACCTGCTGCCTGCCATGGTTTCGATATAAAATGTCCCCCGAGGCCCTCGAAGGATTGTGTGATGAGCACATGACCCTGAGCCATTGGCCCGTCAAACTGCTAAACTCGTGAACTCATAGCTGAGTGGGTTGTTGGGAGGTGGTCTAGGTGGAGGAAGTAGGTCACAGGCTGGTGCCCTGGAGGAGCAGGTTCTGTTTGGGCTCCTTTGCTCTGTTACCTGACTGCTGTGAGGTGAGCAGCTTGCTTCCGCCACGACCTTTCTGTCTCTCCATAGGTCTAAAAGCAATTGTGCCAGCCGACTGTGGACCGAAGCTTTCCTCCTGCAACTGGGCACCTTCCCCACCCGAGTGTGTTTCTCAGAGAGACGAGAAGTAACAGACTACGCAACAGATTTGAGACAGCTTAGCTGGATGATCATTTATTGGAAGGTTGAAGCTGGCAAGACAATGCACACGGTTACTTGAGGTCCGGCCTTCATCACAGATTAACTAGGCGTTCCGGCTGCCCTTCCTGCAGGCCCCATCATGACGAAGGGGACCATGATGTTCACAGGATGCTGGTTCTGGATCCAGAGACCTGAAGTCATACTTGCAGGAACAAATTGTTCCCTCAGCTCAGTCTTTGGAGTAGAAACCACAAGAGAAAACCAGGTCTAGGAATATTGGCAAGGGCAATACAAACATTTCAAGACAGCACTGTAGAACATAAAGACATTTCCAGGTTATATTTAGGTATAGAAACTTCTAGAAGTGTTGCTTTTTGCTTTTTAACTATGGCAGAAGTAAGATAGAAAATTATGTTGGCAGCCAGTGAGTGGCATATCCTTGTAATCCTAACATTTGAGACATGGAGGCAGGAGAATTATACATGTTCATAGTCTCCTTCACTATATGGTGAGTTTGAAGCCAGCCTGGGCTACACGAGATTGTCGAGAGAGAGAGAGAGAGAGAGAGAGAGAATGTCTGCATTGACTGGTTCTTCCTTCTTGTTTTTAGTTCCGTGGGGGTGCTGATTACATTTGGGGGGTCTCTTCCCATCATGGTTAATCTTCTTCGAACACGCCCCTCCAGTCACACCTAGAGGTGTGCTTTACCAATCAAGAGGACAGTTACGGTGAGCCATCACAGTCTGTCTGGCGTACTCACAATTCAGAGCCCCATACGAGGACTTGACTGTGGGTGGCGTATTCTGTGAAGTGATCCCAGGAAACAGGAATTGCGAATAAGGAAGAACTTTAAGACAGAGATGCTGTATTTTTAAAAATATTTATTTTATTTATTTATTTATTTATTTATTTATTTATTTATTTATTTATTTATTTTGGTTTTTCGAGACATGGTTTCTCTGTGTAGCTTTGCGCCTTTCCTGGAGCTCACTTGGTAGCCCAGGCTGGCCTTGAACTCACAGAGATCCGCCTGGCTCTGCCTCCCGAGTGCTGGGATTAAAGGCGTGCGC